TCATCTCTATCCTCATATTAGAAGGAATTCAATCAGTTTGTCTGCATTTTAAAAGTATGCATTTATCGTCATTCCACAAGACTCAAAAAATCTATTTGTTGTAGCATTGTTGTAACCAGCTTCAATGACAAACACATTATTGGCAGGATTACAACTTTAAAGATAACTAAGAACTTAATGATATTTAGTAAAATGCAGAAAACAAAAGAAAGAAAGAATGAAAGCAAAATTAAAACAGGCCTGTTATAAAATGCTTTGTGGTCCCTTTGGGTGAAAAAGACCGCCTTCATGCAAAATACCACTGCAAATGCATGAAACCGTTCGTTTAAAAAGCATGAAAACAAATATTGATCTAACTTTGCAAGAGTAGTTGAAAACATTGCATTTCTTTATCTTTTAGCTGAACTGATTTCTTCGCAAATGGTGACAAAGATAAAAAAAAAACACACACACACACAAGCAAAAACAATAAGTTAGCTTTAAAATATGGCATCTTTAAAATGCCATATTTCACCAAGTGAACCTTTTAACGAACCACTCAGACCGTGTTGTTTTTTTGGCGTCCCACTGTCTTACCTTCCCCACGCAGTCTCCTTTGATGTATGTATAATGCATTACATAAACCTGAAGAGGAACCAGCTTACATCAGACGGCTGATTTGTGTGCCAGTTTGTCCCGTTTTATGCGCATGGATGTGAGTTCAGTGCCGTTTCAGCTCATGGATGGTTGACAGGAACAGATGTTGGGGATGTTAAGGTACTACTATTCGCGAGGCACATGTTGGACGTTGAGAACAGACCCATTTGCGCTCACAGATGAGTCTCCACCGACGTGCAACATTTGATGCATCATTGGTCTTTGCGCATGTGCGTGTACACCATTGGATGTTTGTGAGAGAAGGTGAGGAAAACTGAGAGCAATGTGACAGGCAGAAAACATTAAACCCATCATACAATATCGGCAGGAAGGACTTACCTCTGCAAAATGTCTCTTAGCTACTGCGCGTATTAAAGGTGCTCTGACCTTGGGCATGTGCCATATGTTCATTCAATTTTACCAGCAGAATACAAACACAGATGGCTCCTCTGAAATCCAAATGTGTACACAAACACACCCAATGCAGGCAATGAGCTGAAACAGCAGCTGTTGTGTGATTCAAGACTGTTTGACTATTTGATCTCCCAAACACTACTGTATACAGTATGCTCCATAAATGCTGCATTTCATTAGTATCTGAGTGTTCTTGTGCTTTGAGAATTTCTGCTCATATTCTCTAGTTCTACATTCATATAATCAGCTTCCCAACGAATTTGCTGGATTCTCTTTTAATTACATGCTTAACCAATTCTGCACCTGGTTACCATGATCTGTTTTTTTTTCCCCATCATTTGTTCAGTGTTCCCATTTAGGGAGTTTGTATCAAAGTACTTAAGTCACTTAAGTAACTGGTTACTTCACTGTAGCAGATGGAAGTCTTGGACTGGTTTGATATTTATTCACATAACCTTTATGATGTTTTTAATGCAATTATTTCTCCACTATTTGTTTTTTTTGTTTTTTGTTTTTTACGCCAGTATCCACCCTTTTGGACAAACCCAAACTTCTTATCAAGGCACCTAGATGGAAAAACACAAAAAATACATTGAGTTCATAAGGTCTGGCAGGATGATTTTCTGCTCCAAACACACTCTGCAGTGTCTCCAGTAACTGCAAAAACAACACTTCCCCCACCAAAAGAAAAATGAAATCAGTACTGAACTCAAACATCTGGTTGTTTGAGTTCATTGTTGATCTTACTCTCCTTCTTCTTTGTTGGCCCTTGAACGACCTTAGCTCCATCCTAACCATACAATGTAGGTACCATTGCACCGACTACTGAAGGTGTTCCAGGAATGGTGTGGTTGCTGCTTTCACAATGAAAACTGACAGAATAATATGCTGGACCATGTCGACCCCTGCCACACTGCCCAGTTAAAAATTCATTTGAATCATTTTAAAGAGTTTCTTAGTTGCTTTTAAGGTTTTGTTCAGGTTAGGCTCCTCCTACATTTCTGATCTTTTGAATTGGTATTTTCCCTCTGGGTCATTCAGGTCTGGAGACTGAAAGTGAGTTGCTGACACTTTTAGTCTTTGTCTTTTAACCAGAATGACTCATGACTTTGTCACATCTGTCAGATCTCCATTGTTTGTATCTTATTGAATATTTAATTGTACATCACCTTGGTCAACAGCTGTTGTTCTTTAATGGCTTCATAAATATTTGACTTGACCCACACTCCACAGGGAAGGTGTAAGTATCTGTCTGCTGGTCAACTGTCTGCTCAGCAGTCTACCTTAAATTTTGTAGGCTATAAAATAAATAAACCAGCATTTTGGTGTTTAAAAACGTTTTTTATATAATCCTATGTAGTGTTCTTTAACATCTGACAAACTGAAGTAAATTGAATTTTCATAAAATCTAAATGGCCTGAAGTGAGCGGCTAAAATATATCAGTGTTACAGGAATCCCTTCGTAAAGAGTGAGTATAATACATTAGCTTTCAAATAGCTTTTAATTTACTGAGATGTATCTGTACTAGCTAACTCCAATCACTGATCCATTATTGTGTTGTGGGCAAGGATCTCATTTCCTGAAAATTTTGTTGAGCCAGTTAATGTGTTAGGATTCGGTCTTGTTTTACGTATTTGTCAAAGAAAATGGAAAGGGCAACTAAAACTCATAATTTATTTTTGCTGGATTTCCTCAGAATTACTTATTAACTTCTAAAAAGAGGATTCAACATGTCTTTCACTCCCCTGGAGTTACAGAGTCTCCTCTCTTGCTGGGTTTTTTTTCAAAAGCCTTTCAATTAAACTCTTTTTTTAAATCAGTCCTGGAGAAACCGAGTACCTCTGACATCACCAAATTTCACCGTTATCTGGCTGAAAATGGAGATGTTGGACACTGCAGGGTCGAGGGACGATGGACGAGGTGGCTTTTGACCAACAGTTACCACCACATAAAGCCTTTATCTCACCTAAACGGCTCCGACTCCCAAAGCCAGACTGCGATAAGCACAGTCCATTCATCTGTAATGACGTGGAAGCAAGAGGCAGCTGAACTAACTTGAGCAAAATTCTACAGTGTGTATGACTGGAAAAGGTGCTGGGACACTTCAGGGGGGTTTATTTATTCATTCTTTGGAGATTTCTTATTTTCTTGTCAGTGTGTTGCTACAAATCTGATTTTACCTGATTGTGTTCTATTGTTAGAAAGATAAATAGAAAATGCACTGGACAAAAACACAAAACATTTTTCAAATTAGGTGTTTTATGGCTAGAAGGAGAAAAGATCAGTTGAAATTTCCAAACCAGCTGCACATTTTAAGCAAAACTTGTTATTTTTTTGTTGTTTTTTTCAGGGTGAATGATTTTTGCTTTGCCACATTAATTTGAGCTTTTTATTTTTCTGGACACTGATATTGTTTTAAATAGTAAAAATAAATTCCCTTTGATTCCTTTGCCAATTTGTAGTCCCAAAACATATCCGTTGGCTATTACAAGCAGCCTTTAAGTAGTTCAATTAATTATCTAAGTAAAATATGGTCTTTCACAATTTCGCATGTTTGTAGATTTCATGCCAGAATTTGTTTGGTCTATTATGGAGACATCCACCCAGGCACATTACTTTTCAACCATTCAATACCTCTGGACTGTGGATGTCCATTTTGGCAACCAATGTACTTTTCTGCACTCCTGTACCTCAAAGGAAATACAGTTAAATGAATCCAGTAAATGTATCTCAGCAGGAGGTGCAATGAAGTAATCTTGGCTTGATCACAGGGTTCTATTTTTCATGTTTTATAAAAGTGAGCTGGTGCAAATACACCAAAATATTGTGTAATTGAAAGTTTTCAGAAAGTAAGAATCAATAAACTAGCTACTAGTGAGATTTGAAAGTTTTTCTGACCAACCTCCATAATGTGTGGACCTCCATAATTGATGAAAATAGTTTTTCTAAGAAGAAATCCAATCTGATGCACAATGCACACATGTTATATGTGGACAAAGATAGCCTGATGCAGATTTGTGAAAATAAACAAAAAATATTCCATATCTACTGAACTGCATGTTATATTCTCCAGATTCGGTGCTATTTTTTACTGAGTATGATTCTGATTGTTTTTCAGCTCGTTAAATCTCCTACATATAACTTTGAACAGCTCAAGCTGTAACATCTCTCAGTCACTACCTGCTTGTAGATACGATTTTTTTTAAAATGCAATGCACCATTTCCCTGCACTAAATTTTGACAAGACTGGGAAATTACTTTTAATCACTCGTTGTCAAAGCGTGTAATAAAGTTGTCAAAATTTGGTTGAGATTGATGTATGGATGTTTTTAAAAGCTTCTTTTAAAAAGATTGTGAAAAGGACCAGTATTCCTTAAGACAGAAGTGTCCAAAGTCAGTCTTCAAGGGCCGGCCTCCTGCAGGTGTTAGGTCTCTCCCTGGTGGTAGTTATTAGTTTCTCTGCATGTCAGTGGTTTGCAGAGATCTGCTGCTAGTGATCCATTGCTTCATCCAGGTGTGTTAAACCAAAGAGAAAACTAAAACATGCAGGACACCGGCCCTGAAGGACTAACGTTGGACATCTCTGCCATAAGGTGGTATCTTGTCAAAAGTCAGATGCATTTGTTGCATTTTCAGTTTCATTACGCACCAAATGTTTCCATCCAGTATTTCAGGCAGTGTCTGGTTGTCTGTATCAGTTGTACCAAAAATCTGGAGAAATTATTGCATTTTATGTATCTCATCATTCGGACTGAAAGTTCGTCTATTAGTTTTAGTATATTTCACTATTAAACCACATAAAGACAATGGAGTCTTTGTGAAGGCTCTTTGGCCCCCTGTGGTCTGGCTTATAGTGTTGAACGGTTGCAGTTAGAATTATATAAGATTTCTGAGAGCAGGATTTTTCAAGCAAGCTTACTGCAATCTGCAACTTGTCTGTGTCTTTCAGGTTTAATTGGTGTCCTTGACTGCAGCGCTGGACTTAGTCTGAAAAAGCAAGACGGATGAGCCCGCAGAGTCAAACTGAGAATGTTCCCTGTCCCGTCACCTCACCATGTCTCCATAGAAACAGTATCAACTGCCCCCTTTCCACAATTCCTTCTTTTGCCTTTGTCATGTCCCGATAACCCCCTGGGTCTCTGATCCTCCCTCTGTCCTAACCACAGTCCCTGTGATCTGAGTCCAATAGTGTTACTTTGGAAATGTTCATTTTTCCGTTCAATGCTGCCAGCCACCACGGCTACGGTGGGAAGCATCTGAATACTTCTCAGCAGGCCCCCAAGTCCTGCCTGATGTGGCTCCTGGGACTAGTGCTGCACCTGACTCTTTCTTCTTCTCAGCGTATCGACCTGAAACATCCCATAGTTTCTACCAACTATGGAAAGGTGCGTGGCATCCGGAAGGAGCTGAACAATGAGATCTTAGGCCCAGTAGAACAGTTCCTTGGCGTGCCGTACGCCACCGCACCCATAGGCGAGCGCCGCTTCCAGCCCCCCGAAGCCCCGGGCTCCTGGCAGGAGATACGCAATGCCACCCAGTATGCACCTGTGTGCCCCCAGAATGTGCACGGCGTTTTGCCCGAGATCATGCTGCCAGTGTGGTTCACCGACAACTTGGATGCAGCGGCGACCTATGTTCAGAACCAGAGCGAGGACTGCCTTTACCTCAACATTTACGTGCCCACTGAAGATGGTGAGTCTGACGCGTAACACAAATCTCTCCAAGCAGGGGTGGGAAGGGTTGAATTGGATAAATCAGTCAGCTGAGAAAATAATCACCAAATTAACGAAAACAATGATGAGCCATGTTAGCTCCACCCCTATTAATTAAAACTATAAAATCACTTTTTATTAGATTTGTATTGTCTTTTGCATAATTTAATGACATAAGGGTTATTCTGTCATTAACAGGTGTTGGCGAAAGCTAGTTGTTGATTCTGAAGTGGAACCTTATTTAAGCTTGTTCTAATATTTATTAAAGAGCTAGTTCAGAATTTCTGAAACAAGCTTAGCTCTCAGTAGGGTTTTACACAGAAGCCAACGTTAGTTCACATAGAACAACACATACTGACATATAGGTCAGTATATGTCCTGGACAGAGTAACTAAAAGTGAAATATTGTAAAAATAAAAAAGATTCCAACTTTATATCAATTACTTATGAACTACACTGAACATTTTAACTGCATTTACTCCATGAACAGACAATTGCATACCAAAAAAAATAAATGAAATGTGAGCTTTCCTTTCAAATTGTTATTCCTACATGTTGAGGATGTTTAATTTTTTTTTTTACCCTGTGGAGGAAACAATCGAAAACTGTGGTCCTGTCAGAAATCATGTGTTCTGTGTTCTTTTCCGCATTGAGACAAAGTCAGGTGCGCCGACTTTATTATTTTTGTGCTAGTTGGACAAAATAATTTCCCTGTGGGGATCAATGAAGTGATCTTGAATCTTGAATCTTACCGGGAGCATTTGCAAAAGTAAATAGGCAGAAGAAAGGACAGAAGCACACATAATGCAAAGCGTAATGATGATTATAAGTAGCATCAGTGAGAAAAATTTAATAAGCATGTGATTAATGGGCCCACCTGGGAGTTGACCGGCGGTGTTCATGAAATCACATGTTTATGCATCACTGCTCGCTGGAAATGAAGAGCAACACAGAGAGCAGTCTGGAGCTGTGTATGGCACTGTGCTATTTCAACATAACATGTAAAATGATAAAACCTTGCAAAAGTAATCATGCCTTATAATCTCTGTTTCATCTTTTACCACATTATCACCAAAAAAGTTAAACATATTCTAATAGCATTTTATTTGGTAGACCTACAAAAGAATATGTCATTATGAGGTAGAAGGAAATTAGATATGTGGTTTTATTTATTTTGCATTTTTGGAAAACAACAATTATAAAAGGGTGATATTATTGGCGTTCATCTCCTTCTATTCTGATGTCCTTTAATCAGACTCAGGGCACCAATTTGGACCCAGTTAGTAAATTGAGTACACCTATGTGTAACTTAACCAGAAGTTATAGTACTTCTGACATACAGGTCACTGGTATCAGTATGAAGAAGTTTTAAGCACATTAAACATATTTTCCCATAGGGACGTTACCCATCAATTAACAATAATGCATTTAACCAACTTTAGCTTAACCAACCATTTTACACACCCTAATTAGATCCAATTATGTTTCTGTAACCCAATGAATTTTTATCAATTATGTGTGATATATAGTCATTGGACTGTGGACCCGTCCAGAGCACCCCACCTGGGAATCACCCGCCCCTTCCCACAAGGATGTCACATTGTTGATTTTATGTGTAAGTGTAAAGATAGATGGATATTCATTGGCCTTATGCAATTATTTTCCTTCCAAAGTCTAAGTTAAATTATTTGTAATATATTTTTCATAATCTTCCCAAATAAAAACAACTTAAGTGGTTTATCTGAAATTATTCACTTTAGTCCCCCACAAAATGTACATGAAACAAAACTTAGAAATAATAAATACCGCAAGAAAACTGTTTGCTCACAACATACACTAACGACAGGCGCTATTTTACTTCTAGCTGCCTCAGATGTTGTCAAACAGGGTCAGTCAAGAAATCCTAAGGGGCTTTTCCAAAGCTCCACATGTGGAACAGCTAACGTGGATGTGATAAAAATCCCCTGAGATGGCACATACACCACCATCATATGTCAACACACACCAATGTACTAATAAAAAACGATATATGACATTCAAGTGCAACGTGATTCACACAATTTGTTTTGGCAAATAAATGATAAATCCACTCCAGAGTAACTGAACACATTTGGTGTCAAGATTTATGCAATGAAAATGATTTGAGGGTGGAGTCAGAGGTTTGCATCCAGAACCTTCTCAATTGTTTTAATTACTTTGTGTCATAGATAAATGCTTAGACGTTTTCTGTTGCCTGAATTAAATATTTTTAAATAGTTTTCAACCAATTAATTTTGGCACATTAAATGGTAATACAATTTGTCACCTCTTTGAGTCGCCGGAATCTATTTTAAGAGTGCATGAGTAAGCGCTGAGCAAAGGTTGCACAACAAAATCAGCAATGAATGTGCACCGCACTTTTCAGATTTTCATTTGTGAAACAAAAGCTTAATCCTTAGATCACTAGAAAGATGAAAGCAGCATGGCCACAAGAACTTAAACGACAATGCGCAAGAGTCGAGAGAGACAAAACTGGCTTCCTGTAATCACATTAGAAAGTGAAGTTAATGAGCAGTTCTGGCTGTGCTGCGTGTAAACTGTGTGCTGCGTGTGTCACACGCCCAAGGACAAGATGATGTTTAGTCTCCGGGCTTATTCCCTTGGGAAAAGGTGTGCAAATGAGTGAGACAGATTTTACATGTAGCCCTGTCTGCTTGTCAGATACTGTCACTTATTGTCAGAGGTCACTGCTTACACAAGGCGGATGCTGTCTCCAAGGACATGTTTTACCTTGTGTGTGAGAGAAATTGAGAAGCAGGGTGGATTACTCCCGGAATAAAATAGATGTTGTACTTTGTACCATAGTCACAGTCCCTGAAATTGTTTACAGTTGTGAGAGGTAGAGAGAGGTCAACAAGCTATATTCCACAGTCTGTGAAAACTCGGCTGAGTTAAGTTGTGATTCAGAATGAGTTATGTACTTTTTTTTTGGTGGGTTGAGAATTTGGAGAGTAAATCTCATATAAATGATGCAATTCGGGCTCATGAAACTATTTTAGATTCAGCTTAAACGAATTCCCTTTGTCATTCTGTCATCAGTCTACACATCGTAGTTACAAAGGATGGGGACATTTCTTTCAGATTTATAATAGAAAAACACTCAAATATTAAAATTTAAAAAAAAAAAGTTTTCAGAACAGTTTTTATGGCACTTAAAACAGAATGTCTGCACTTTCGGCCTCCAGCCCGACTCACATGTACGAAGGGCAAATTCTGTGTGTGAAATGGTTGTGTGAAATATGCCTTTTTTTTGTTGTTGTTGTTTTAAAAGCAATGTCTTTAGTTTCTTATGTGAGATCCTTGCACCAGTAATTCAGCAGTGCAGCCTTTGAGTGCAGGTAAAATGTGAGCTAGAAATGTCAGATCAACCTAAAAAGATTTATACAAACCACAGATTTTTTTTTTTAAGTGCAAGGCATAGTGCTTAGTCTTTGTGGAAACAAAAGCTCTATTGGACTATTTAAAAAAAAAAAAACTTTGTATCACTAAACAAGTATTTCTGGGTTTGCCAATCCATTATAATTCATTACATTAATTAAAAATTAGCTGTTGCAAAAACTACAAAATATAACCTCAGAATGTCTAAAATACTTTTATTGTCAGCAATTTGGATTTGGATTATAAAATTCATACTAAGCACATAACATCATGTTTTGTTTTGGGGTTTTTTATTAAAGTAAAAGCATTTTAGAAGTGCTGTCTTTAGGCTCAGAATTATATATCTGTTAAGCTGAGCACTGCAGCCTAGCTAGCATTAGATAGCACTGAAGGCTAGCTACCGTTAGCAGAAAGTCCAGCTGTTTAACTCTCAGCTTGGTTTACTTGCAGTACCTATATAGCAGAGTGATTACTATTAGGTACAATAATCACATAGTCAAATATTACTACTAAATTAGACTGCTTTTGGAGTCTGGTGAAAGTAAATCAAAAACATGTTAAGTGTTTTAGAGCTGTGTATTATTAACAGTGTAGAAGTGGCTCATGATGCCTTTGTGTACATTTTTATGTAAATCTCACCTTTACACAAAATAACTGTTTTCTGCAGTTTTAAGCTCTTCTTCAGAGAACTAGGCAAGGTTTGACACTTAAAGTATTTCTTTAATATTACATAATACAGAATGTTAGAAAAACATTGCAGCTTGGGTGACATGCAATCAGACATTGGTGCAATTGTGTGAAATCCTCATGCAAGTGCAACGCCTCGATAATTTTGAAAGTTAACATTAGGCTTCTTGTGTTGTGTCTGTGTGACATGTTTTTATGAGCCCCCAGTTGGTTCTGCAGAGAAAAGTTGCATCTCCAACAACATTGGTAATGAATTGGCAGAACACATTTGTGCGTACCCTCCACAAGTGCTTTGGTGCCAGATCTGTTTGGCATTTCGTGACCTTCCTATTCTGGTTCGAGGCATGCGTGTGTCTATTTCATGCCCAGAAAGATGCTTGCTGATCATGTTCTTGATGTTACTCTTTAGATGAAAAGAAATTCAAAGCCTCCTTTTCTTTCCGCATCTGTTCACCCCTCCTGTTCTGTCCTCGCTGGAAACGATTCCTGCCTCTTCTCCTTTCCACTCTCCTCGCTCCTCCATCTTTATGCGGATGGCAGTGGAAGGGGCCCCTGCTCTGAATGCAGATGAGCTCGGTGCCCTTCCCCAACCAGGCCAACACGAAGCCCACTTGACTAGAATGAAACTCAAACAAATTCTTCGCATAATGTAAATAACACAAATATTCTCTTGAACTGAAAAGTGAGCCCTCCTCCTCCTCCCCTTTCCTTTCATCTCTCTTCCCCATTCCCTCATGTGTGGATGGGTTGTTAGGAGAGGGAAGCGTCTCACCGCTTTTCTATTTCCTCAAGACACTCCCCAGGCAAAGGCCTGAGATCCTTCATTTTTATTACCACTAGAGCAGCCATTTACCGTGCACTTTATTAAAAACCATA